TATATATATAGTGTTAAGTACACATGCTTTAAGGGTATATTTTGTTTTCATGCAGGTCCTGCGCTGTTTGGAGGAGAGGCACTGAAGCTGCTGACCAGTTTGTTTGAAAGTTCAGCTACTGAACACAGAAAGGTTGACATCATCATGAATCCAAACAGAAGATCTGCATGTTCCTTTGTTCAGGTCAAAAAGACATAAACGATGAACATTGTTTCTATAAAGGCTTCCATGCCTTATTGAAGCTAAAGCCCCATCATTACCCTGGCAGTATAAAAATTAATGTCCATATTTTGAACTACTACCAATACAGGGTGATGATTGTATTAAAGGGGGGTTATTCTGTATTATGTCTTTACCATAACCAAGTAACTATGCTACCTTCAATTATGAAAATGGTGTATATACCAAAAATAAATTTGACTTTGCTTCATATCTAAATGCCTGGAAACTGGCCTTTGTCTCTTTTAGATCCTCCTACCATTTCAGAGACTCCCATTTCAGCACGTCTTCACAACATCGCTTCGGGGAAGTGGGGCTCTGTGGGGTAGAACCTCAGATGCAGACTGAGCTCCAGGGAGGAGCTAGGTAAAAACTAGGTAAAAAATAGGCAGTGCTTTGTGCTAACAAGCATTTAGGCAGCTCCACATGGCCACAGGAGACTCAAGGATTTCTCAAACATGCACGAATGAGTCAAAATAACACTCTGGATATAGTTTTGATCAGGGGATTTCAGTCCRCTTGTAATGCAAGCTGAATGCTGATAGGCCACTACTACTAAGATTTACATAAATAGCTACATGTAATTTCGCTAAATTGTAATTTTGTGTCTAAGAACAGGACCAGAATGTAACAAGTACAGAAACTGAATAAATAAATGTTTTCATTATTTCAGACACAAAGTGCAAAGAAAAGTTTGGACAGGATGTATATCAACATCTCTTCCTGGACAGGGCAGAATTTCAAGAACTTGCTTTTTTATGCTTTCTTCTATGCAAACCAGAGTGTGGAGTTGAATTTTTAAACACTGCATGGAGAGCTGCAGAATAATGCTGTTTATTTTAATGTGATGCTGCCAGCCTGGAGGCAGAAAGCTCATGGTCAGTGCTGTTCCTTTTTTTTTCTGCCATGTACATCCGTCTCTTTCTGTTGGACGTGTCACCTTTTGTTCATTTCACTGTGTTTGTGAATTCTTCTCCCACCGGCTCAGCTTGTTCTACTTGTTTTTTTAGGAAACTACTATCAAAGGATCTGTCAGTCTGAGCTTCCTGCTTTCATTCACTCTGCTCTGTCTGCCGAACTGGACTCCCCAGATAAGACACTCTTCTTACAACAACCCCGCTTGTGTTACTGGCTTGGTTCTGTGATTTGTTTTGACCATGTTTTTTTTTTTTTTTTTTTCCAAGAAACAGTACAAGCTTCATAATCAATTTCAGGAATCAAATTTTAAATGAAAAATAAACATAAAAAGTCCCAGAATATTGCATAAAACAAAGAAACAAAACATTGTTTGGACTAATCTGATTTTTTTGTCCAAAAACAGAAGAATAAAGAAAGTTAGTCAATAAAATAAAAGGTGGAATCTTTTATCTGTGGTATATTTTACAGTTAAAACTTCTCTTTGCTGCAGCCTGCCAGCAGTAGTCAGTGTCATATACTCTGCTGTCAGTAGGTGGCGGTACACAACTAGAAATGATGCCACCTCAACATGAACAAACTGGGAACTTAAACATTTTTAACCGTTTCCATTGATTAGAAAACATGAAAAAAAATCTTTGCTTAAACCCAAGCAYAAAAAATGAGCAATGTGCATGTAGCAGTTTTTTTTGGTTGCAGAATGGGAAAAAAATACAAAGAAAATTGGAATTTGTAGTTAGTTTTTTATATTTAATCCACCATCACATCATTAGATGATCTTCCCTTTTGCAGTATCAGTAGTTTAAAAGCTTTACATTAGCACTGCCCCACTTTGGTCCCTTAAACCAAACATTATTTACAAAATCTGGACATCATTTTAAAATGTTTACCACCTGTATTCAGTGTCAGGCATGAATACCTTGTGTTCAAAYGAGCTACAGATTAAACACTGCTCAGTGATTATCAGAGGGGAGTAAAAAAGCTGCAGTTTTGAAGGCAGTTCCAACGAACCTCATGGTTCTCGAATCCCAACGACACAAAGTGTTCTACGCAGTTTCAAGTACAGCTCATACACAGGTGAGTGAGAAAATAAGACAAAAATGTGCTCCCTTTAAGGCTTTTTGTGACTAAAACTCAAATTTCCTTTACCTTTGTTTCAGTTTTACCATTTAAAAACACTAAAAAATAAATTAAGACACCCACTGGCAAAACACGATTTGGCACACTTATCTCGTAGGTATTCATAAGTAGGGTGACATGTGGGTTTTAAAAGGTGTTCTCAACGGTACACAGCAGGAAAAAAATAGATTACAACATTCCTGTCAACTCGCTAAGCTCTTCTTGGGTAAAAAAAAAAGCACTTAGTTGAAAAACGCTTAACGAACTCCTCAAGTCTTGTTCAGGCAGCGCTCTGCCATGAAACTGGCACCGCAGGCGGGGGGATCGGCTGGAGAAGGAGTGTAGTATGACCACGGAGCTGTCTGCCTGCTTTCCTCCCACATGATGGAGCGTGTTAGAAAGTGACTGCTTCCAGGCAGAAAAATAATAATAATAAAAAAAATGCTGCTGACCTCACAGCCTTTTTTTAGCAGCCAACACTGACATTTTTCAACAACAGTACAAACGAGCAAAAAAAAAAAAGGATTTAACAGTAACTGCTTGCACAAAATTGCACGTGAAAGTCCGCAGTGCAACAAGAATTTGCAGCCGTTTGTCAAAAAGTCTGTCTTTGTGTCTTTGAGAAGCACTTCTTTGTGTGCAGGAAGATAAAATCTTTCTGCCGTCGCAAATCCATAATAAGGACACTTCAGGTGTGCAAGATGCTTCCTTTTTTTCGTTTCTACTGAGGTGTGAGGATGAAAGCAGCTGACGTCTTAAAAAAAATAATAAAAAAAGACCAGATAAACTCTGCTATCCTGCTGCAATCTGCACTCAATCACGATAGTATAAAAGCTCTCAGTGGAGCAAGTGACTGTCTTCAAGGGAAAAWTTTCAAGACCCTTTTCCTTTGTCGTTTCAATCGGGTGCAAACGTTTGCAGGGAGGAAACTGGGAGCAGCGGAGGCGGCCTCCACCGTAGTAATTGCACGACGATCACTTAAATCTTCCTGCTCTTTCTACCACTCAAACTTCCACTGCTGGGTTCGGTCGCTGGGGCTGCAGCGTCTCATCTGGACGTCTGGGCGACCCTCTGCCGTGCGGTAGGCGGTCAGGCACATGTCGGAGTGAGGATGATGGATGGTCCCATCCTGCGCAGATTACAGGGCAAACTCCAGATTAGACTTTTTGAGGAAAAGTGTCATCTTGTGGAAGAAGATTTGAGCGAACCCGCCCCTCACCTGTCTGAACTCCCAGACGATACTGGGGGGTTTGAGCTCGCTGTCATGAGGACAATGTCTCATACTGATGAAGGTGTGTCCCTCGAGGACTTCAGCGCACAGCTCAGTCACAGAGTTGAAACGGATCTCCTTCTGAGAGGTGTATTCAAAGTACTGGGGTAAAAAAAATAAAACAGAAATGTTTGGTATCCACAGAAATGTCAAAAACTCATAAAAACATTTCCACCAAACATATTTAAAACCACAAGCAGAGGAATCAGAAAGTAAACAACTAGTAAAACACAACACTGTGGATATGTTTTCACCATTTTTACTTTTCTTTTTGTAAAAGTAATACAAGTCAAAGCAAATACCAAGTTTTTCTTTAAACTTGATTTTGAGTAAATGCTCCAGTTGGAGTCTAACATAATCATCGCTCATTGTTTTATATGATTAAGGTGAAAAATAAATGTGTGGGTAATTAAAGGCAAAACATTAAAAAAACAAGTCTTTTCAGGCTTGTTAGAAAAAAAGAAACAATTTTTGCAATTAAAAACATAAGATTTGTTCACATCTAATGTTGCTACTAAAATGATAAGTTGGCTCTTTGCTAAAACCTCTGTAATTTTTCTCTAGTTTATTTTAGCAGCAGCATCCACCTGTGAATTTATGGTTTCCAAGAGATTTTAGCCTGATTCATTATATTTTGAAAAGAGTTATATGCTGTATAATGTGAAAAAAAAATCAGGCAAGGGGAAAATATATTTATTTTTTGTTCTGTTCCAACCTCACTATCTCTGAAACAATAGCAGCTGATGCTTTTACACTTCTGATTAAATCTTCCAAGTGTTTGATTTATTTTGATGCCAAGTTTATTTAAATAGTTTGTAAATGCTGAGACAATTACATTTCGGCACTTTCTTTCGAGCACAAGGAAACCTCTCGGGGCTGAAGAGGTTAACCTTTAAACTTTTCATAAAACACTCCCTCTCTTTCAAATTCTTTTGCTTCGTCTCTATTTTAAAAAAGAACTGAAAGAAGCCAAACAGTTACAGCTGGGTTTGTTTTTCCTTCCCTCCGCCGAGGCCTCGTGTCCTCATTAAGCTGGAGCTGCGTGGCGTACCGGTGTTTGTGTCAAGCGATCTCGTCAGTAAAGAGAAAGGGCCTGAATCTCTCAATCAAATAGACGGGGAGACAAACCCAGCTCTTCCTCCGCTGGTGTCAAGTCAACGAACTGACCTACGGGGACAAAAGAAGTGACACTCCACGGGGCTCCCTCCTAAACGGAGGCTCAGGTAATCCATCTTCATGCTTCCCCATCCTCTTCTTCACGTCTCATACATCTTTCAGGTGCGTCGAGGTCCGCGATGGTCGATTGCAATGAAAGGCTCACCCCTGGCAACGGCTTGTGGCTTCTGACTTATTCACCCAGGCTGCGTCTCTCTACCAGTGAGCCTCATGTATCTTTTAAACGGAGCAAGTTTTTTTTTATTTCTTATGTGAGCCAGGGACGAGGGAGCAGGAGGAAGGCGATAAAGGGTCCTTAGGGTTTTTTTGTTTCACATGGGAGCTATTCAAACATTGATTTTCACTAACACATGGCGCTTTATTTTGTGAATGAGGACACCTGATGCGGTGCATCAACGRGGTAATCAGAAACATCAAACAGGTGGAAGACGGACGGAAACAAGTTCACCCATTCATCTGACTCCCAACATTAAATATGCATGTGCACAATCATTTGCCATTTACTAAACCGCTGATGGATGGCGTTGGCAGGAAATCAAAGTAAAATAATCTAAAATTTACCACAACAATTTCTCATAAGTTATAGGTAAATACATCGGTGGGCACCAGCCTGCTAAAGCACAAATCTGCAATTGCGGACCTAAACATTTCATTTGCGTTTTAGCGGTCATACTAGTTTTTATAATTCATAAGCGGATTTGCGCTTTCTAAAATTAAAATGCAGTACCGCTAATAACTAATTATCTACCAGTCATCATTATCTTGAACAGTGGAATGTATGGCTGTCAATGAATCACAACCCATGTGATCTATCCAACAGCACCCCTCCCAGATAAACACACTTATTGAGAAGGTATACATCCTTGCTGACTGTTGCTTTTCGGTCACGGTTCTGACTTCCCACAATACTTTGTGTCTGCTTACGTAGCAGGAAGGCAATAGCAAAAACAGTTAATGTTTGTAATCCATACTAAAATTTTGCATGTGTTGATTTATTTTACTTTACAATCGGAGCTCCTTTTTTAAAAAAACAAAAGTTTAAACGCTGGAGCTCAGTACTTGACCTAATTGGTCGAAGCAATCGGCTTAACGTGGTTAGAGACTCAGAAATGATTTAAAGATGTTATGCGGATGAAGACTGACATCTAGTGGTCAACTGGAGCAACTACATGGAAAACCTTAAAATCCTAGCTCTTATTTTGAAGGGAAGATAGTTTCCTGTGCTCCATGCTTTCGTTTCCCGTCACAAATCAAATACGTCATGTACCCAGAATGCATCGCTTCAGTTTTCCAATAAACAGTTTTAAAATTACTTTATTGATGCTTCTTTAATGAAAAATTTACAACAAACAAAAGAAAAAGACAAAGAAGCAGCCAAACTAACAATCCTCAACAACTTTTTAAAGAATCAACCGAACTAGCAATCCTCATCAACTTTTTAATTTTTAAACCAGGAGCTAAAGGTCTGTTTCAGGAAATCACATCCCCAGCAATCAGCAGTTGTAGAATTAAGTTGTAAAAGAGTTCATACACAGCTAGTTGGCAGTGTTGTGCGTACATGAATTGCTGCCAGCTAGTAAGTGTCAAATTGAACTTGCACTTTAAAATTAGCTTCCGCTAGCTTTTCTACGGCATGAGCGCTTTTGAAGTTGCAGACCTAAAAATTTTCAYAAGCGCTTTAGAAATTGYGGAGCTAAATTTTGGATTAGCGCTGCCCACCACTGGGTAAATAAAACAAGTCCTGGATACATTGAGAAGTATTGACCTCCTGCCAAAGAGCATGAGAGAGATAGAAAAGACTGAAATAAATTAAAAGAAATGTTTACCTGGTTGCCTCCCTGGCCGTGGCAGCCGAACAGAGAAAGCTGGGCACCTGTGGGATTGTGGTCTGGAGCGTTGTAATCAAGGCACTCTGATTGGATTCCTGAACTACGGACCTGAAAGGAGCCCAAAAAGTATCAGCAACAATAAAGAGGTGATAGTGCACATCGACTCCTGCAAAAAGCCTCTCCTTTTGGTTTTATTCTCTGCAGGCAGGTCACACAGTAAGGTCACGCACAATGCAGCTTCAACTACTCTGATTAATGTCAAATAAATCAATCTAAATCCAGGATAAATAATCGAATCAGATAAAATGTGTATTAGGAGTTACTCACAGCCCCATGCCAGCCTTCCCTGTCCTCGGGCACATGTAGATCAGGGTAGATATTTTTAAGATACCAGTCAAAGCTTTTGCATTTCAGCCTTTCCCTCAGCAGCAGCCGCTCCGAGATATCCCCGTAGTTTTCCTGTAAAGCACACGGGATCAGTCGCGACAAGAAAACARCCGACGAGGGAAGTGAAAACCTCTGATTTTCTTCCTCGCAGTGACACCTAGAATTATGATGTTGGGAGGGTGGAAAGTGTTTGCAAAGTGTCAGGTCACAGGAGACACACTCGCATGTGGCTGGCATGTTCACGCTGTGATTATCCTGGAGTTACGACAAAGTGTTAGGAACATGCCAGAGACTCGCTACGGTGGAATAAGCCACTGAAAACTTTCAACTGTTTATCTTTCAGTAAAACTGCTCAAGGATGATTTTGGGAAAAACGAAGAGTACGAATTCCTCAATCTCAATTTGATTGTTAACCTAGATGTGCTAATGGGAAACAAACCTACCTGAGGGATTTTTTGTATGCCTTATCTTGTCCAAAGATTGTGTTTTTTATCCTTAATCTTGTTTGACTGAATAAAACTTGACTGCGAAGCTGTTTGTTGATAAAAACATGGGAATTTGATAAGCTGCACTGTTTTCTTGCACCCGATTGGAATGAAAGAGTGATTAACAGCCTTCTGCAGAAGTTCCTGATAGTGGTCCTCAAGGGCCAGGACTGGGCACCGTTGTACTAAATCATGCTTTCGTTTGTTTTAATAGAGCAGCCAAAGTCTTTAGCTCTGGTGCTGTATTCCATCTCCCACTGCCCAGATAATTTATTGTTTGATCAAAGATCCCAGATATAAATAATATACTTTGTTTKTCAGACAGGTGTAACTGAGATACATTATTTTTTTATGGCGCCCAGTAGAGCGGCACAACACACATACACACACATTAACGGGTCAGACCCAGTGAAGCAGACAGTGTGAGATCATATGCTGWCATCTAGACAAGTTAATGACATCATAGGAAAAGTCCAAATCAAATATCAAGTGTGTCTGTGTCAAAACAACATGTTGTTGCAGAGTAAAACAGCGGATCACTGCGGGGCCTCGGTTTATTAGACGCATCGCAGGCGTGCAAGGAGTCAAAGTGTTTGTGAGTGTCAAACCTTTTTGGCTGGAGGGTTCCTGTTGTAGAAGTGCTGTTTATAAGAGTCCATCCAAACTTCTGCAGCTCGGACGGTGTTCTGGAGGAAGTTGGGCCGCGCGTAGGGGGCCTTCTTGGGGAACACGTGACCCACGTGAGAGCAGGGATGAATCTCCAAACTGCCTCCACACTGCCATACCTGTGGCGGCAAGATGCATAAAAAACATAAATATCTCTTTGTTCTTTGTTATTTGTTTGTTTTGTTTTTTTACACTTAGGTGACCAGAGCAGGATTAAACAATGATGGATGCTTGTGAACTGATGGTTCTGAGAAATTAACTGTCTGCTGCAATGATGTGTTGCCTCTCAGCGTAGGCYGTTGCAGTGACATACAGCACAAACTGGGTGATAAATATTCAACAGAAGCTCATATTTATTATTATCCTCGAGTATTTTTTTTAGTTGCACTCAGGTGTGACACAACAACAAGTAAAAACCCACAGGTTGAGTTTTCAAATCCAATTCAACAAACAGACTTCTTGATAGTTTGCAAGCTCACACATGCCTCAGAGAGCTGCTGTTTGCATAAAGGGATGGTTCTGATCATTTGAGACGGAGTTATTATTTTTACCTGTAATGCATCGCTATTTGAAAGAGCTCAGTTTTGTTTGGAGAAATAGAGATTAATTCTGATTGGATCGACGAGCCGTGGCTAAGCGAAAAGGCAAATTTGCAGCCCTTTAAAATCACAAAAAATAGTGTTTAAAGGGAGAAAAAAATCCTCTCATCTGTCAAGTGTGATGATATGGGTGTCAGAGGATCCGGCACGCTGGCATTTAGTGCCCTGCTGACAGAAGAAATGAAAGCAGCTGTGTACAGAGGCTTTCTGTGTGCTCAGAATCATTCAAATGCATCACTGGATGGCATTTTATTTGACATCCGGCTAGGGCTACCAAAGAGCTACTCAGGATGATATGTTCTCGAGTGGTCGAGTCAGTCACAGGATTTGAATTAGTTGCGGTTCACTCTGAAAGGCCAGGCTAAAGGCAGGCAAACACCACAATACACACAAGCTGAAGGTAGCTACAGTAAAAGGCTGAGTAAAATACAGGTAAGACACTTTCTTGTCAAAAGCTTTCACCCATCCAGTTACTGGCAATACATTACAGTTAAAACCGTCTTTTAAAGTGCATGTGACATCAATTTTTTGTAATAAACATGAATGCATGTTTGAAAAGATAACATTGATAACATACTGCAAAACAAATTTCACGTCGCTGAGATGAACAGTTGTTGAGATATTTGCATGTGAAGAAACAGGAAGTGATGTCAAAGGGGAATGTCAACATGTAAACAGTGTGTTGTTACAAAAGCTAACAACACAGACTGTAGAGAAGAATCTGATGTTTCTTTAGATTATTTTAGTTGCTATCAAAGAGAGATGAAGAAGAGTTAAGTTTAAATAATTTTGTTTTAATAAACAGAGACCAGCAAGTTTATTTTATTAATGAGTTCTCCTTTGATGTCACTACCTGTTTCACTTTGGCCGAGCCAAATTCAAAAGAAAATATACCAGTTATGAGTCAAAATGGATGAAATCATGTGTACTATGCCAATTTTCTTAAGTATAAAGATGCTTTCTTTGACCTTTTGTATTTGAAGGATAGGCTTGTCACAGGCTCCTAATATTTGATTTAGCTTCAGTTTAGATTAATGCTGACAAATATTTGCTCAAACTCAAGTTTAGGCTTGGCTTTAAACTGCTGGAGGATTTCCAAAGAACAGTTGAGGGATATTTACAGCAGAAGTGAAATAAAAATGCTAATGTTTTGGAATTGGTGCAACAGCAGAAGTCGCACTTGAAAAGCAAAACACCTGCGTTTACACAGTAACCTAACCCCGATTTGCAGTGTTAATATCTATGACATAACATTGACTGTGAAGTATCCAAGAAAAACACCACTAAAGACTGAAAGATTCTTCAGTCGTGGTTCTTAACAAGACAAAACAAGTTCTTTCCCTCATAATTACGTGGAGTTTTACTCTTCATCATGTCTATAGCATGTCAACAACCAGACCTGGAAACCAATTCAAAAAACATAAATCATGCCCTGCAAAAAGCTCCAGAAAAAGAGAGAGGAGAGGCGTTCTTTTATTTTCACATCCACAACACATTCCTTGGGCTAACAGCCTGTTCTTCTTCACGCTGTGACTAAATCCATTTCCAGCTCCACAAAAGGCCTGAAACCTTTGCCAACCGGACTGACGCAAACGAGTGAAAAGTGATGCAAACACTTTAAGGTCTTAGGATCTGTATCAGGTTCTGTGGCTTACCGTGATATCTGAAACTCCCTCGTGTCAATCAAACACTGATGAGTCAGGGGCTAACTTGATAATAAAAGGTACCCCCTGGAGCTTGAGGTCTCAATAAACTGAATTCACTTCAGTTAGATGGATTGCTTTTTCTTAACATTTCCAAAAGCTGTTTCATCTTACTGCACCGCATTGTGGTAGTTTGGCAGAACGAGGACTTGGTGATCCGGAAAGATGAACTCACCCTGAAAGAGAGCTCGAGGTTTTCTCCTCCCCACACCTCCATCCCCATGTCATATGTGCCAAGGTATTCAAAGTAAGCTTTGCTCACAGCAAATAACCCTCCTGCCATGGTAGGAGACCTGTGAAGACACAAATACGACTTGAACTTATTATGAAAGTGTTAAGAAGAAAAATGAACAAATCAAAGTTTCGAGGTTTTCAAAGAAATGTATGCTTTGTACTTTTAAGGTATTAGCAACTGAAAAATGATCCCGCTCCTACCTGATGGGGTCAAAGCGAGACTTTCGCCTCTTGCGTTCCACTTCAGGAACCGAGTGCCACTGAAAGGTGAGTCTCCAGTCAAACCCTCCAATCATCGGCTCGTCTGTCTGCATGTAAAACTCAAACGTGTTCCAGTCGATGGTGTCGATCACAGGGCACACTATGGTGCTGGCATTCTGAGCAATCCTAAACAAAATGTCAWAAAAGTGCAAAAAATAAAAAATAAAATTAACAAAACCCATTGTTAAAGATGTTTACTCCAGAAATGTTCAGAAAGCTTTTAAAAAAGATCTAATTTGGGTCACCTTTCCAGCAGAGGCTCAATCCAGCCGGGGACACACTCACAGTGGCAATCAAGAAAYGTCAGAACGTCACCCGTGGCGTAGGTGGCGCCGATGAGACGTGCTCGTACCAGCCCTTCTCTTTTATTGGTGCGAATGAGCCGCACGCGTTGGAGGTTGCTGATGTATTCTTCTAGCTTTGATTTCAGGTAGCCTGAGAAGCGAAGATCAACAAAAAAWGTAGATGCAATAGGTGTAGGTAAGCAGTAGGTGCACCGATAAATCAGCCAGTCGATGTAAATAAATTACGATAGGAACATTGAAGGTGTGTTGTGACCTTAGAACGCCTGACAGTGTCAATTATTTTTTTTAAAAATAGTATTGGAGAGAATCGGAATTGGCTGGTCAGACTTTTTAAAGATCTGTATTGGGCCAGAAAACTGCAATCTGTACACCCCTAAAAGCCTAATCAGTTCTTCAGTCATTAGGTGTTTAAAGAAGCCTTTCTGGTTCTTAGAATGGCATGTTTAGCATTCCACTTGTGAACAGCATTTAGAGGAGAGGAAAGTGTATCGTAGCAGCTCGGTGCTGACTGATGTCATCATGATGGTGTGATGTCTGACAGACTAGACTCCCTGTCTTAAAACTAATTCTACAACAGCAGACTGACGCTGAGCTACTCCTTTATCCAGTTTCTGACATGAAGTGGTGTCAGTCTCAAACTCAGCAGATATTTCTGATGAAACCTTGCAATGTAWGAAAAATCTCTAAAAGTTGCTCTTCTGGTCAACCATTTTTAAAATATCTCACACTGCCTTGTCATCAAACAGACAGCAAAACAAAACTTTACATTTGCACATAGACAACCAGGAGTTGGAGCAGAGACTTGTTAAATAAAACTTGGTTAAAACCTGCTCAGACCACAGCTGAATTACTAAAACCCTCCTTAGTGCACCACCATTACAACCAAACCAAAGCTTCAAAGAGCTAATTTTTTTTGCCAGTTTTGCTTTTAAAAACAAAACAAAAAAGTAACCCATGATTTAATGACAGTGTCAGACCTCGGTCACTGTAGTCATCAATTAGGATGATTTCTTTCAGCAGCATGGCGGGCGTGGTCTCCAGCACACTGTGAATAGTTCTCAGCAGGGTGGACCAGGCCTCGTTGTAGAACGCTATGATCACAGAGGTGGTAGGTAAACGCCGGTAGTCAAACTTCTTGTTCCGGCATCTGAGGCATGTGCGTGTGTGAGTGGAGAGAGAGAGACAGAGTTGACATAAGCACGAGTATTCATGTTCTGTACATATTTACAAAACGTTTTATAAAAAAAAACAGGAGTAAGTCAGATCAGCGGCTTTTCTGAAAAACGTCAGCGCGTGGTGGAGGAAGTGTCTAATCCTAATCCAAGTGGCAGTTACTGAAGTCATAAAGAGTTGCAGAAAATATGTTTGAGAATGGAGGTTGTCACACCAGTGAGCAACAAACACAGAAGGGCTTGGAGGAAGCGAGACCACAGAAATGAAAGCAAGCAGAGATGAAGCGAGCAGAAACAACAGACAGAGGGCACAGGGATAGAAATGAATACAGATGTAAATATGAACGTGTTTACAAGAAAATAATACATAAAAATTGAGACATTAAGCTCTGGTTTTATTATATAATATGATTTATGTCAGCACTGGAAAAGAATAAATTATACAAAGTTGGAGAAGTTATTTGGAGAAGTTATATTTACTGTCATTTCCTGGAGCTAACAAGGAGTAACAATTTGGGGGCTCATCCGGGATTGAACCCAGAACCTCTCAAAAGGCTCTTTTAGAAGATTGTACCACAAAATGTTCAAACATCTTATCCCACTTTGATGCTCCCTCTGGCAATTCAGAAGTCAGTGACAGAGATGCTCTCTTACTGCACTCAAACGCACTTTCAGACAACATTAATCAGTGCAAGAGTGGTGTGGAAATAAACTCCTCTGCTCAAACGTGTTGCTGTCACCCAGGCTGGTGATGAGTCACAGAATGACTCTTATCCCTTATTATTGCAAGAGTTAAAAAAAACATCCAAGCATGTCTTTTAAAGGTTTTAAGTTTCAAAATAACCTGACTCTTATTATGGTTGTTAGGGCTGCATGATATTAGGAAAACCTGCGATGTGCGATAACAGTGCTTAATATTGTGATGACGATATGACTTGTGATAAATGAACAAATACGAATGTATGTATTGTTGATATCTTTCTGCTCTGGGTTCAACACCCAAAAAAACAAACAAACTAAAAGAAACTAATCATTTCCATTCCAGCCTGAAATTATTATTTTTTGACCAAATACATGAAGCGCTCCATTTGATTGGTGAAATATTTCAAGCTTCCATCTGAATGACAAAACGCATAAATGCAAACTATTCAGTCAACCATTTATTGCAGTTTATGCAGTTCTTGTGATATGCATATTGCACAGGCTATTATCGCGATGAYGATAAATTTTCAATATATTGTGCAGCCCTGACCTAGACCATCATGTTTAAAGGCAAATCCACTGCTAAGATGTATTGATCATTCACTGATACACTCCAGAGAGTTTAAAACAAACACAAATGATGGTTCTTCCACAGCTACATCTGTATCTCATTAGTAAAGGGAGACAGTAAAACAGAAGGCAAAGGCGGAAGGGGAAACTATTAATAAAAGGCATGACGCTGTGTTTCATCATAGCAGCAAAGCCAAGAATAGCTGGAGATGGAATAAACCTATTCACCAGCTTCAGTAAACATAGCAATACATCACAGGAGCGTCTGTCTTTGTTTTTAACTTACAGTAAAAGAGTTTAACTTACTGTTTTTACCCAGTGTTTTGGCTCACCAACAGTTATGGTTGGGTGATGTTTCTGATTTATTTGATATATAGTGACTTTTTCTTCTTTTTTTCATTTCGAAATGTATTAAACAGTGTACAAATTTTCCTGATAATGTGTTGTCCATCTGCATCTTACTATATTATTCACTGGGGCTTTATATTGTATATCCCAAGAAAGGCCTAAAATATTGAGATAAAGGTGCTTTTTTTACCAAGCTCAAATTCAAGGGTATTTCTGGACCAATTTGCAAAACCTATAGAAAGCAACGTAGAAGGATGGATCATTCTTGTTTTTAACAAACTCACTCATTCATCCTGTGGTCCTGAATGTGGCGATGGAGGGAGATCTTGTCACTGACGAAGATATTGATAGCGTAGCGCTCCACAGCTTCCTCCTCCTGTTTCTTCTCTTCTGGGCTCGGGTTGAGGTGCGTGGCCCGACCCCACTCCCCCGGCGCATTGTTGTCGGGTGATGGCTTGACATAAACGGGCCTGGCCAGCAGCCCGTCCGTCCCACTCTCTTCTAGCTGCCTCGCGTGCACATTACGCTCGTCCTCCTCATCTTGTCCAGACGAAGACGAGGGGAAAGAGGAGCGCGCTAACAGAAGGTAGCCCAGCCACAGCAGCCACAGCAGGAAGCTGGCTTTGGCCAGCACGCCCAGTTTTCGAGAGCWGCGGCCCCTCATGACGAAACGCGCCGCAAGGGCTCCGTGACGAACCGAGCTTCAGGGAGCCCGTCTGGACACGAGCACCTGGATGAAACAAAAACAGATTTCTTTTTAAAACACATCTGAAACAGAAGAAGGAGATGGTGAAACACATTCTAAAACACCCAAACTACTTTCTCAACCAGGGTGCGATTTAACCCTGAGAACTTGATTACAGTCACGTACAAGTTCCTCCACTGAGCATCTACACCCAAGAAAGATTGTGTCTGCCTCTAAATTCACAATTACCCCGAGGACACGGCTCAAATCGAGCAGAGCAACAGTAATCAACATCGACACCATAAACGTAATCGCATGCTCAAAGCTGCATTAAGATGCTCATTAAATACAAATTGTGCAGATGGAAGAGGCTAAATTATGGCTGACAATACAGCAATGTGCTGAATAAATYGAGTGTGTGATACGCTCCGGAGAGTGAAGCTGTTCGTTAGCCTGATGAACTTCATTATGGCGATGCTGTTCTTTAGCGCGGCGCATCACAGTGAGCCTTTCAAATAAATAAACAACGCAATCCGGAGAAACTGCAGCTGGGATGTTGCTCATGTTTTACATATTATGGGAGGTTTCTAATCACTCTGTCCACACYTGAATGACAATGTCCCTTTAGGCAGTATTAAAGTTCTTATTCATGTCAGCACCATTACTAAAAAATACCTCAGAGGTCGAGACTTGTGTGAAATATACTTTTATTATTAATATCATTATTATTATTTAACAGATTCTACCTTGTTGCCATTTAATCAATAAAAAAAGGTTGTAAATGAATTTTGGACCACTCTTTACAACATGAGTGCAGCTCAGTGAGATTTGTAGTCACTCATTTCTGCACAGCCTAAGCACCTGCAGTATTCTAAATGGTTGAGGTTTGGACTTTGACTGGAGCGTTGCAACATATTGATCGGTTTCTTTTTCAGCCATTCAGTTTCAGTTTAGTCCAAGCTTCAGCTGTCAGACAGGCAATCCCTCTCATGACTAAAATACTTCAATAGTTCTGGTCGACCTAATGACCACAAGGCGCCCAGGTCCTGCAGCTGAAAACCGAGCCAAAATCATTGCCTTTTTTGAATACTTTAGATTAGATTTAATCAATTTCCAACCTGGAAACAATCAGATCATTTTGATTGTCTCCTAAAACCCTCAAAATGAAAAAGGGTGRACTTTTTATTCCAACTATGACTAGACTAAATCTGGATTTAGAATCGGATTATTAATATGGTTTAAAGTAGGGGTGTAAGAAAATATCGATACACTGATATATYGCGATATTTCATTTCCCGATACTGTATCAATATTCTAAAGCCATGTATCGATTTTTTATTAAGGTTTAAAATGTCAACTTTCCTGCCAGCCGTTCATTTTTATGTTGTAGTTCAGCCTCTGACCACTAGTTGGCAGCAGTGAGCCAGMCAYTTGGCTCCTCTACCTCTTGAGGTAGAGGCTATTGTTAAGTGTTGGGTGACCTTATTGTAAATTAATATTAAAAACTAAAAGCTGCAAAAAATATATTTTCAAACTATTTATTGTCAAATTTAGTCTAATAATTGAAAACATGGATGAAATATGAAACAAATAAAATAAAACACATACAAAGCAGAACACAGCTAAATGTATCAAAAGCATGTCTATGTAATATTAGAATTTTCTGAGACAATGAATTTTGGTTTTTCAGTTTTTTCCCCTGTAAGAGGTTTTTATTTAATAGAATTTTTGGACAAAAAAATCGCGATATATCGCCTTGCTTATAGTATCGCAATATATCGGGATATATCGTATCGTGACCCCTCTGTCATGATATGTATCGTATCGCCAAATTCTTGCCAATACACAGCCCTAGTTTAAAGGCACGATATCTTAGCATCAGAGGAGACAGCGCGGTTGTATGTGAACACTCAAGCCTGAGCAAGCCTTGTTTAAATTCAGAGTGTGAAAAGGACARGGCCCGATGCAGGGCTCCTGCTTTCATTTTCTCCCACTGAACCAAAAATAGACATCGCCAAACGTGTTTGCAGAAGGACAAAAAAACCCTCTTGCTTATTAAAAAAAAGGCAGATTAGCTTCAGTTTGTAGATACACGAAGACGGCAAATTTCAACATTCACGTCTGGCAGATGAGCTTAACGTTCCAGATTCCGAAGGAAGCTTGCGTTTAAAAAAATAGACCACTTAGCTGTGTTGACACTGAACCGAACGCAAGCACATAATCGTGTTGCATTAATATTACAGCGGGGTGCCAGTCATGTCAGCTGCAACAAAACTGATGTGAGCACACGCCAACGGTGCTTTCTCACACCCAAGAGATGATTACTTCCCAGTTCTGCCAAAAAAAAAAAGTAAGTGTTGAAATAGTGTGGCTTAAGAGAAAAACCTGTTACACCGGGAAAAAAAAGAAATTAAATTGTCACATTAGAGTCTATAAAACCACAATAAATAAATAGAAAACGCTTCCTCTTCTCTGTGAGTCCTTTAAGACATCAGCACAGGCTTTTTACTCCAAGTTTGGACTCAGGCCAGAGGACTCTGGACTCCTGAGGTTTCAAAATGGAGACGCCTGCAGACAAAACCCTCTTTTATTAGCTGTCCATCACACCTTCCACCCTCTCTGAATCGGATAGCCATACCGGGGAGCATTTCGGGGAAAAGGGCAGGAGGGACAGAGATGCAGCTTTTAATCTTGACCCACTTTTTTTTTCCTTTTGAGRGGGGGTGATTAAGATAGAATTTCAGAAAAAAGCGTGTGGATTGTTTTTGCTTCTGGAGCTGCAAATCTCTGGATCAGAAAAGAAAAAAAAATCCTGATATTGACAACAAATATGATGTTACATCTGTTCAGGCTTGACTTTTATTCTCAGCTCTGAGGTTTCCAACACGACACATGTTAATGTCCCTTTTGCTCTTCCTGGTAAACCTGGAATGAGACATATGTAGCGGATGCGGTACATGGCTCATTTAATTATCAGCTGGTTAAAGAAGAAAAACAAATACCCGTTAGGAGTGTAAACACCAATGAAACACGTTTCATGAGCAGCAAAAATGCACGTCTCCACTTGAGTGGATGAATCCTTTTCAGACTTTAGAACTGGATCACAGCAACACAAACTGATTCTGATTATCACAATGTAAACAGCAATGTTTTCAAGAGAGCAAAGCTAGACTCATCATCGAATCCCATTTAAGCTTTGTGTTTTAGAAAAAGTGTTAAAGAAAATAAAATAGGTAAAAACTAAGCATGTCTGTCATTAGTGCATTTAMTTCAGCAACAGGTTTCCTGACCTGTCAAAACAAATCAGATACATTTGCCTTACAGTCAACGCAGAGGGAGGAAACCGTGCTCATCACTCCATGAAACAAGTCATACAGCAACTTTTCAAATCAACGCAGMATAAATGCGGAAGCTCAACAACAAATCATAACTTTTCCTACGAACAGTCCAAATAATAATCTTTAATGTTACCTTCTTAGTGAATACAGTCTAAGTTGACAATCTAAAAAGGAAAGTTAGACGAGTTTAACAGGGTTAACGAGAGCTGTACTTCAAAAAAATAATAATATCCAACACGATTAGTTTGGAGAAAAGTATTTCCGTCTGAAGAAGACGGGTTTTGGTTGGTGTCGGTTTTACCTTCCGGGAAAGGTTACATGTCTCCGGGGTTCTCCGAGTGTTCTGAGGCCGTTGTCTGTCAGCCCGACTGCGGTCTTCTTCCAGTCAAACCGCTGGCTTGCAGATGTCAGCATAGCCACATCCTCTCCTCCGAACTGGGCTGCTGCTGACCCGATGTCAGGAGGAGCGCGCGTGGAATACGCACAGCTTCCGGCGCAGCTTTTCACAATAAAAGCTCAATGACATCCTGGTTAAAATTCACAATGAGCCCCTTACCCAGAGTTTTTTGCTTTTTTGCTTGTTTCTCTGAGTGTAAACAATGAATACGTATTGTTCATCATTATGAGTCTTTTTTGTGTGTGTAGCTTAGCTTTCAGGACCTATTTGTTGTCATTTTAGTCTGTGACTAGTTTTTCTTTTTCACTTTCTGTCATTTTGTGTGTCTCATTTGTGTATTGTTGGTTGTTTAATGTCTTCCTGGCTCTGTGTTCAGTGAGTAGATTAATTTTTGCATAAATCCAGTAGCAAACACATAATGGCTAATATAATAATTTATTAACTTATAAAGCTAAAAACACATTGAGACACGTCGCTTTTGTTTAACACTACGCACCTTTTATGTTACTTCCTCTTCTCATTTCTTCAAAATGCCAGAGGTCTATGAAGTACTTGAAAAAAATAACTAAATAATAAATTTCACTGATGAGAAAACTACTCAAGTAAAGGTCATAAAACTGTTCACAAAAATTGGGAAAGTAAAAGTCCTTTTACACACTCTGTAAGAAATAAACTGTTGAATTTACTGAACCAAACTGGTTCCACTAAGCCGTAAATTGGTCAATATATGTATACTATTCTTTGCTCAATTTACTCAACTAGGCTTAGTGGAGCCAGTTGGCATGACTTTGTTGAATAAATTCAACACTTGTTGTTTTGTTTTGTTTGTTTTTTTGAGTGTATACTACACATCTTTCATGATGAGTTTTAACATAAGGAGTAAGGTGCCACATTTTAAAGTAAAGAAGTAAAAGTATTATTTTTAGCTTTAAAATGTAACAAAATAAAAGTTAAAGTAGCTATTTAAAAAATAATTAGTAAAAAACAGAAAAAAACTGCTTAAGAACTGTAACAAAGTAAATGTACTTAGTTACTATAAACCTCTGCAAAATGTCCTTCTCTGCAAAGAAAAGAGAGAAAATGTCTGTCCCGCACTTACGATGTTTAACTCCCCCCCATCAACTGACAGTTAACTTGACGCAGCATGGCGTCAGCTCATTAGCTGCTGCCCCTGGCTATAATTACCACTTCAAAAGACATTCAGGTATTTATTCAAATTCTTGAGTACTATGTATAGAGCAGTCACAGGACCTTTTTAACTCAGTCTCACAATACTTCARTAAAAACTTTCAGCTCAAACTTTCAAAAACTAAATAACTTGTAACTGAAAATAATTAGGATATTTGCGTGTTTTTTATGATGTGGCCACGAAGCACGTCGTTTCTTAAACACTATTGTCACTTTGACCGTGCTTATGTTGACAGTGGATCATAAAACCCTTCACAAGGACGAGMCAACATACATCAGGCAGATAATATGTAAATGACCTTTGACCTGTACACATAATGTGTCCCTGCACTTTCCAGACATGTGGATATCGTCACAAAGTGTAACCATCATAAATACACAACTAAAATTAACTAAGTTTTGTATTATAGTGTATTTTTGTTGTTGGGGTAGGCACTGCAACTTTGCATTTGCTGAGAAACAAAAACACCCTAAAGGCTGAATTTAAGCATGATTGTGCTTGTTTATTTTACAGAATGTTTTAACAAGATCAGTAAGTACTGAGTTTACTAAATAAGCTTATTACTAGATTATGTGACACATGAATTAAATTAAGCATAAGAAAATGTCAGTCTTTGTCAGTTTAGGTGTTAAGCCTTTAATTTATTGAATGAAATTCAATCCTGTAGTTTTATTGGTTTAGGTCTTGGTATTTGCAAGAATCCTGGAAGGATTTATTTCCCCACGCTGTATAAATGGTTAATGCACACAAACACACATGCACAAACAGTCATTCCCTCTGTGTGTTTGCGATCGCAGGCTTGGTTTGTTTTCTCACCGTCTCTGGGTCCTGCTCAAGCCGGACCATGTTCGCCTAGAGCGTACAATGTGCCAGTGCAGCCTGTTGTTAGGCCGACACCTGCACCTCTTGAGTTCTTGCCAACTTCTTTTATTCCTCCGTCTCTWTTTTCTTTCCTCCTTTTTGTTCCCTACCCACTTACACTGTTACTTCTCATTCTTGGTAGGATCGTTRCAAGCATGTAAATTAGAATGAACCTGCTTGGGATTTTTGTGCAAAAAATAATCTCCTATTGTTTTGTCCTCTAGACTTTTATATTTTATATTTATTGGTTGTTCTGACAAAGACACTCTGTGTTTTACACTGCTGTTCTCTGCTGTGGCAACTCCAGAAAACKCAAGTCAAAGTGAAAAACTGAAACAATGTTTGACATGAAAGATCAGATAAAACAGTTAAAGCAAAGAWCGCCATCTAGTGAACGTATAAAATACTTCAGCACATTTGAGTAATAGCTCATTACTTGCAAGAATAGCAATCAGATTAAAGCTGGTTGGAAAACAGGACAAATGAAACAGATCATATATTCTACAAGATKAAATAATAAAAAGATATAAATGCTTTCCCTTTTGAACAGTAAATAAAGATGCTTTAATCTGTTCTGAAAAGGAGTTTGCATTAAGAGCTGAAATGTCTATGTTTCGGTTTCAACAGTCCCTCRTTTATTCGAGAGAGTCGTTTAACCTCTGGAATTAGAAGCTGACATCCTTTCTGCATTTATCAGCTGCAGACTTCCAACGCCCTGCATAATGTGGAGTTGTGTGTCTGAAATTCTCCCATCCTCTGAGCTTGATGTTCATTTCCTTTTTCTTGGGCAATAAATCACAGCGGGAGGAGGTCACATTGTGGGACCAGAATGCTTTAATTTAATGGAGATAGGTTCTGGCCCGCACTCCCCCTTTGCTTATTAGCTCCCTGTAAACTGCTGAAGACACAGTGACACAGTGGTTTTCAATTAGAGATTCCCAGAATGAAGCTCGGGGTCTTAATCTCAGCAATGGGATGAGTTATTCAGATGTCGCTAACTGATCAGCTCAAAATGACCACAGCTCATGTTGTTTGCTCTTTTTGTGTAAAATACAGTAGTGTAAAATTGGAGGAGAAAGTGTGAGACGAGCATGTAAACAGAACAGTAAAACTTTGTGGCCAGAAGGGCGAAGCAGATAAGAGATATCTTTGAAAAAAATCCATTCTGCTTAGATTCTGTTGTGAAGTCGACCATTTTATCTTTGAAGGAGAGCCTTTACAGCAGCAGTTAGATGTAGGACAGCTGGCACTCCCCTTTGACTGTTTGCCAACAGCTTCCTCTGTGTGTTTGCAGGAGTGTGGGACATCTTATTTGTCTTGAAACCAACCTAAAATCAGACATTTCCTAAGATATGAATTATATAAGAATTATGCAAAATGCAATAATATGTAATGAAATAAAACAAATTTGTCTCGTTTTTTCACACCACCGGTTGAAAAATTTGCAACTAGATGTTTCAGCTGCTCCTCCACATCGAMAAGAGTCAGTTGAGGTGGTTTGGGCATCTGATTAGGATGCCTCCTGGACGTCTCCCTTTAGATGTGTTCYSGGTACGTCCCACTGGTAGGAGGCCCCGGGGAAGACCCAGGACATGCTTGAGGGATAATGTATCCTCCCTGGGAATGCCTCGGGCTCCCCCAGGACGAGCAGGAAAGTGTCGCTGGGGAGAGGGACATCTGGGTTTCTCTCCTGGACCTGTTACCTCTGCGACACGTCCAGGAAGAAGATGGAAATGTTTCWGCAATGTTCAAACACCTGCCTTAAAAACCTACAGTTAGCTTAAAAGTAGACGTGCTCATAACATGCGCTAAGCACAAACAGGTCTGAAGGATATTTTGTGACTGATTTACTGAATTTTAGATATAGCCTTGTCTTTATGATTGATTGCAGTCATTTACTTTTAACAGGACAAGAATCAACAAGTCTCTACTTACAGGGTTTGGACAATGAAACTGAAACACCTTGTTTTGGACCACAATAATTTATTAGAATGGTGTAGGGACTCCTTTTGCGGCCAATACAGCATCAATTCCTCTTGGGAAAGACATATGCAAGTCCTGCACAGTGGTCAGAGGGATTTTAAGCCATTCTTCTTGCAGGATAGTGGTCAGGTTACTACGTGATGCTGGTGGAGGAAAATGTTTCCTGACTCACTCCTCCAAAACACCCCAAAGTGGCTCAATAATATTTAGATCTGGTGACTGTGCAGGCCATGGGAGATGTTCAACTTCACTTTCTTGTTCATCAAACCAATCGTTCACCAGTCTTGCTGTGTGTATTGGTGCATTGTCATCCTGATACACGGCACTGCCTTCAGGATACAATTGGATGCACATGGTCCTCCAGAATGGTTTGGTAGTCCTTGGCAGTGACGTGCCCATCTAGCACAAGTATTGGGCCAAGGGAATGCCATGATATGGCAGCCCAAACCATCACTGATCCACCCCCATGCTTCACTCTGGGCATGCAACAGTCTGGGTGGTATGATTCTTTGGGGCTTCTCCACACCGTAACTCTCCCTGATGTGGGGAAAACAGTAAAGGTGGACTCATCAGAGTACAATAAATGTTTCACGTTGTCCACAGCTCAAGATTTGTGCTCCTTGCACCATTGAAACCAATGTTTGGCACTGGCACGAGTGACCAAAGGTTTGGCTTTAGCAGCCCAGCCATGTACTGTATATTGACCCTGTGGAGCTCCCAATGGACAGTTCTGGTGGTAACAGGAGAGCTGAGGTACACATATAATTCTGCCATGATTCGGGCAGCCGTGGTTTTATGTTTTTGGATAAAATCTGGGTTAGCACCCGAACATCCCTTTCAGACAGCTTCCTCCTGTGTCAACAGTTAATCCTGTTGGTGGTATGCTGACATTACCCTGGATACCGTGGTTCTTCATACATTACAAAGACTTGCTGTCTTGGTCACAGATGCACCAGAAAGACATGCACCAACAATTTGTCCTCTTTTGAACTCTGGTATGTCACCCATAATTTTGTGTTTATTGCAATATTTTGAGCAAAACTGTGCTCTTA